TGTGTGTGTGTGAGAGAGAGAGAGAGAGTGTGTGTGAGAGTGTGAATGTGAGAGAGAGAGAGTGTGTGTGAGAGTATGTGTGTGTGTGTGAGAGAGAGTGTGTGAGAGAGAGAGTGTGTGAGAGTGTGTGTGAGAGAGAGAGAGTGTGTGTGTGAGAGAGAGAGAGAGTGTGTGTGTGAGAGTGTGTGTGTGTGAGAGAGAGAGTGTGTGAGAGTGTGTGTGAGAGAGAGAGAGAGTGTGTGTGTGTGTGTGAGAGAGAGAGAGAGAGTGTGTGAGAGAGAGAGAGTGTGTGAGAGTGTGTGTGTGTATTTTTTTGTATAGTTCTTATTCATTTAAAGAAAATTAAGCCTAATTTAAATCTATAAGAAAAATAAGTGTAAAAATATCACAATGCAAAAATAAAAACGTATTGTTCTAAAAAAAAAATAGCTTTGTTTAAGGCTTTTTTATTTATTTATAATTTAAGTTTAAAATTATTTTATTTTTGTATTATTTTACAAAACAAACAGACGTTCCATGGTGCAAAGGGAAAGGGTTATTATTATAGTTAGCTAAAAATAAACATTAGATTTTAACACAGTAAACTAAATGTCTTTACATTTTTAGAAGATTTTTCTAATAGTAAAAAAGCAAACCAGAACAGTGTCAAATTCACAATATCACAATATTTTTCTATTTTAAAAAACTACATTTCCCGCAATGCACCACAAATCGCCGACAACTTCCAGGAAGTGTTAGTCTGTTATTGAGGATGTACACTTTATTATCGGGTCTCTACAAATATATGTTTCAAAAGGACGAGTATTGCGTCCTGATCCTCGGTCTGGACAATGCTGGAAAAACGGTAAGACTAGTAATGAATAGTTAACTCCTCCTTCGCTAAAGGTAGACTAAAATGCTCACTGGTTAGGTAGCACACTAGGTTTTGCTTTTAGAATGCATCTGTTTCATTGTTTCATTTAGAGCCACACTAAGTATGATGCCTAGAAGTGAGGTTTTTATGTTGATGGCTCACTTGATGTGTTGAATATTTTAGACTTTTCTGGAACAAACAAAAACAAAATTCAGCAGAAACTACAAGGGCATGAACCTTTCGAAGATCACAACTACAGTCGGCCTGAACAGTGAGTAATGTCATCTTTTTTTATTTTCAGTAATATATTTTTGTTCAATAATATTTTGTATTTTGAGAGATTTTTTTTTTTAATGCAATAATTATGATCAATTTTTTTCCCATTGAAAGTAATGCAAATTTCTGATATTGTTCTATTACTTTTCGATTATGGCAGCATTTCTTGTTGCCTTTCCAATTTTTGAAGGCAGATAAGTGGGAGTAAAAAAAGAAAAACATATGCAATTCCATGGTTTAGCCACTAGATTCCTATAAAGGCTTATAGTTGTTTTTAGACATAAATACTTATTTTTATTAAGTTGTGGATTTGGGTATATATTTAGACATTCTCAAATACAACTTTTTGTAACGGTTTAGATTTTTTTGGTTTGAAAGGTTAGTTTTTGCATTCATTTTTCTATTAAGGTTTATATTTTGATATTTTAGAGTGCCACCCCTTCATTGCCGTACACTGTTTTTCTGCATGGTGGATTGATTTGAATATTGTACACAAAAACTTTATTAATTTTTTTCGTATTTTTGCATATTTCCCATTCATTTCCAATGGCAGTCATTTTTTATTTTTGCTAAAAATGCATTTTTTTTTTACGACCATTTAGCTTTTTTGAATCAAGTCCACTTGATTTTTTATTTATTTATTTTTTGGGGGTCACATAGCGACTGCCGTAAAAGTCATCGAGTTTTGTACCATTCTGGTGAAGTAGCATTTTTTTTTTTCCCGATCTAAAATGACCGAACACCACCAGAGGGTTAATCAGTTCGTCTTGTTCATGTTTCAGTCGGCACCATTGATGTGGGAAAAGCTCGTCTGATGTTTTGGGATCTTGGAGGACAAGAAGAGCTGCAGTCATTGTGGGATAAGGTGACGCACATTCACTAAATCTGATCCTGCTGCTGTCGTTGCTTCTGGAGAGCTTGTTAAAGCTTAAAACATTCATTTCCAATGGCGGTCATTTTTTATTTTTGCTAAAAATGCATTTTTTTTTACGACCATTTAGCTTTTTTGAATCAAGTCCACTTGATTTTTTATTTATTTATTTTTTGGGGGTCACATAGCGACTGCCGTAAAAGTCATCGAGTTTTGTACCATTCTGGTGAAGTAGCATTTTTTTTTTCCCGATCTAAAATGACCGAACACCACCAGAGGGTTAATCAGTTCGTCTTGTTCATGTTTCAGTCGGCACCATTGATGTGGGAAAAGCTCGTCTGATGTTTTGGGATCTTGGAGGACAAGAAGAGCTGCAGTCATTGTGGGATAAGGTGACGCACATTCACTAAATCTGATCCTGCTGCTGTCGTTGCTTCTGGAAAGCTTGTTAAAGCTTAAAAGAGACATAGTATGCCCCTTTTTACAGTATGTAATATAAGTCTCTGGTGTCCCCAGAATGTGAGTGTGAAGTTTCAGCTCAAAATACTCCACAGATCATGTATTATATCATTTTGAAAATGCCTATTTTGAGTGGAAGCAGAAACATGCTGTTTTTCGTGCCTGTCTCTTTAAATGCAAATGAGCTTCTGCTCCCCGCCCCCTTTTCCGGAATAGAGCTGCGCCATTACAGCTCGGACCTGCTAAAAACATCTGTTATGGTTATGATTATCATGTTTATCGCACTGAAAAAACAGTGGGTTATGTCTGTGAAGGTAAACAGCTGGGAAATAAATCACATGTTTATTTTAGATCTGTGTGGCAGCAGCAATATACAGTAAATACATACTGCTCTGTCGTCTCCTCTGAGGCTGGGACTCTAAACAGTGTTCTGTGCTCGTCTCTGCAGCCAAACACTGAACAGTTAGCATGCTTCGCTCAAACTTTCTCCGTGGCATTACACTGTTGTCACTTGTGAAATCAAAATGACGGTGCAATGGGTGGAAACTTACAGATTAAGGGGCGGTAATATTATTATGAGATCCCTTTGCCACGTCACAAGGGAGCAAAATCAGACGCTCTCATTTTTCAGACACTTGCAGAAAAAGGCTTCCCAAAACAAAGTTACTGGGTTAATCTTTTTCACGTTTCATTGTTTGGTAGATGCACCGGGGACCTGATTATAGCACTTACAACCTGGAAAAGTCCGATTTTCATTATATGTCACCTTTAAAGCTTTGTGAATGCATTGAACATCGCTTTCTAATTTGTTATTTATCATGTTTTATCTGTTTCAGTACTATGCAGAATCTCATGGTGTCATTTATGTCATCGACTCCACCGATGAGGAGCGACTGGGCGAATCGAAGAACGCTTTCGGTGAGTTTTACTGCAACGAGGGATCAGTTCAAACCCGTACAAGCATCAAATCCATGATATTATGTCTCCTTTTTCTGGTCACATCTTTGAGAAGCAGGAGAGTCATAATCTGGCTGCTAGTAGAAAAATAAAGAATATAAACACTGTTATAATGTGCACAAAAATAGGTCGTCCTTCATATGAAATGCAGGCTTGTTTAATCAGACTGCATTATATTATATATATAATGTATTAGAAATAATTAATTATATAAATATGATTAATTTTCACAACATTAAAGTAGTTTAAAAGTTAAAATTAAAGATTAAAAAAAAGTCCCTTCCACAAATTAAGGTCTTAAATCAAAGTTTTTCATAAAGTCATGGCATTAAATATTGCATGCACTGCAAAAAATAAATAAATAAAAATCTTCCTCGTTATGGTCTTGTTTTATGATACAAACATCTAAACTTCAAAAAAAAAAAAAAAAGATGACATCTAAGAAATTTAACAAAATTGAGTTATACGTAAAGAACAAATATCTGTCAGTGCAATATGAAAATTGAATTAAGTAGATGTTTCTGCTACAGTGCATTCAGAAGTTATTGAGATCTGCTGGAAGTTGTGTTTTCATACTCTGAAGAGCTGCTAATTGTATTCCCACTAGACATTTACATTTAAACGACATGTTTGAAGCATTGTGTTCCCTTCAGTTTATTCTTTACTTGGTCTTAAAATTGGTCTCTTCCTGAATCGGTGTCTAATGACTTCATGTTCCCGTCGTACAGAGAAGATGATCAGCAGTGAAGTTTTGGAAGGAGTTCCTCTTCTTGTGCTGGCGAACAAACAGGACATAGAGGTATGAACTCCAGACCATCTTATAAAAGTGTGCATCATCAGTCCATCACGTATAATAACTTCATCCTTCTGGGATAACTGTCATCTCTCAGTGGTCTGTAGGTGGTGCTGTGCTCCTTTATTTCCACACTGAGTTCACACAGTCCTGCTTGTCTTCTGTTCTTCAGAACTGTCTGTCTGTGTCCGACATTAAAACGGCTTTCAGTGACTGCGCTCCCAAAATCGGTAAAAGAGACTGTCTGGTGCAGCCCTGCAGTGCTCTATCAGGGTACGTCTGGCCTCGTTTGACTCATGTGTTATTCAGTGTTGTGTGTGGAAGTGGAAACCCCGCTGCGTTCAAGCACTCCAGAAAAAGATGCTGTAGTTATGAGAAATGCACAAAAAACTCTTGTGTGTAGATTGTTTGCTAACACTTTACTTGAAGTCTTTGTGTAATGCATACACCTTGTAATGCTTTTTATCTTTTCTTAAATAGATGTACCCAAATTTTAAATGCATTCAAATAGAAGGTTTGTCGTGTGTTTTAATGCATTTTACTTTCTAAAGGTGTAATTATAATTAGGGATGCACCGAAATGAAAATTCTTGGCCGAAACAGAACAAAATTAAACACTGGGCCGAATACCGAACACGGTTTTTCGAGTTTTTTTCCCCATGTTTTTTGCCAATTTTTTTTTTCACCATTGCATAAATTAAAAAGCCAAAATGTGCTTTTTACTGTTTTGTCTTGCTTTTCAAAGAATAAAAATCAATTACAAAACAACCATTTAAAAATATTTAACTCTGAACATTTTTAACATTCTAGCAGACACTATACCAACAAAGCACAATTTATATATTTATATAATAATAATAATTTTTGGCTATCAGACCCCCTTCTTGAATCAGGCATATTTTTTTTACTGTACAATTAAAAGCAGCCTTGCTGAGAAGAGACTTCTTTTAAAACATTAGAAGATATTACAGATCCTAATTTGAAGACTGTGTGTGAATGTTATAATAAATGTATTAAAACAGAGCTGTTGTAATGCTTATTATCATTATTGTCTTACTTTTTATTTTATTTTACAGAACAACAGTAACATTACAATACTAACATTAATGAATGTTGATAAGAGTTCTTGCTTTTTCTCAACTTTTATTTTGGCGGAAACGCGCAGGACCAGTATATATATGAGCAGTATCGCTAAAATGAATTTTAATATTGGATTATATATAAAGGCTTCACGTAAAGTGTTATCGATTGTTTTTATATGTTTGATACTTTGTTGGCAGTATAAAATGAATCATGAATATTGCAGTGTTTTTCAAGCATTATCACAATTCTAGTTTTGCACTTGTTCCTTCACATCTTAAGTATGAGAGCATTAATACATATTTTAATATCATTTCAGATTTAAACCTTTGTAATAATAATGCTGACAGAATTGAGAATTTTACTTCTGCAAATAAGTTCAGCTCAAAGCTCTGCTTCAGCGATTCATTCGTGTCACGACTCTGAAGTCATCGCAGAGGTTTGCATGTGCAATTTCACGAGTTTAGAATAAGTTTCCACACAAATATGAACTGTTTTCAACAGTGATAATAATCAGAAATGTTTCTTGAGCAGCAAATCAGCAAATTAGAATGATTTCTGAAGATCATGTGACACTGAAGACTGCAGTAATGATGCTGAAAATTCAGCTTTGATCATTTTTTATCAAAATCTGGAAGGGAGCCAACACTTTTTCACACCACTGTATATTCACATAGAAAACAGTTATTTTTAGATTGTAATAATATTTCACAATTTTTACAGTATTTTTGATCAAATAAATGCAGCCTTGGTGAACAGAAGAGACTTATTTCAAACATTTGGCTGGTAGTGTATATCTTGGTAAATATTGCTGTATATTTTGTTATTTAATGCTAAATGAACATTATTACATATAATTCATCGCTGATTATTTTTAACTGGTTTTTACTTTATTACTTATTCCTGTAAATGTTTTGATGCGTATTAAAACCATGTGTGTTTTCTGTTCGGTTGTGTTTTTCAGGCAGGGCGTGAATGACGGCATTGAATGGATGGTCAAATGTGTGATCCGGAACATTCACCGGCCACCCAGACAGAAAGACATCACATAGAGCGCTGTGTGTGTGTGTGTGTGTGTGTGTGTGTGTGTGTGTGTGAGAGAGAGAGTGTGTGAGAGAGTGTGTTTGGCGTGTGTTTGTGAGAGAGAGTGAGAGAGAGAGAGAGAGAGAGAGTGTGTGTGTGTGTGTGTGTGTGTGTGAGAGAGAGAGTGTGTGAGAGAGTGTGTTTGTGAGAGAGAGAGAGAGAGAGAGTGTGGTGTGTGTGTAAAGAGTGTGAGTGTGTGTGTGTGTGTGTGTGTGTGTGTGTGTGTGTGTGTGTGAGAGAGAGAGAGTGTGTTTCTCTGTAAATTCAGAGAGTGGATGCAGTTATCATACCACATGTAAGTTATGATATTATATTTGGGTGATACTCAGAGTTTGATATCTATGCTGCAGACATTGTAGCTATTTCTATGCTAAACTGACACTAGTTTTGTTTTCTGATGAGTTTTTAGGTTCTGTGCTAAAACCTTCTTTAAAATCATGCCTTCCGATTAAATCAGTCATTTAAACATAATGAAGACATTCCTCATGCAGCGTTTCAAGAGGCGTTGTTTTTAAGTCCCAACAAATCAAAACCTAATTACTAACCAATTCTATAATAAACAGCAGAGTTGGAAATGAAAGTATTTGTGTCTCGGTTTAATCATCACGATGTTTTCCCAACCCTTACAAATCCAGGAAATGCCTCATTCTGTCAGGACTGGCTTTTATTGATTTACTTTTGTCTAAGCTGAATGCATTTTGCATGAAGGCAGCGGTGAATCAATAATCGCTGCTCATGCAATGAATGTTATTACAGCAGCAAGCATCACATCTGTGACCTCGGACACTTCAACCGTTCGCTTCAGCTGCAGGATATTATGTGTGTGTGTGTGTGTGTGTGTGTACTGGTTTATATATCCTGGTGGGGACTTAAACCTGACTACACACAGACTCATGAGGACTCGTGTCACGGTGGGGACCTAAATTGTGGTCCCCACGGGTACAAAAGCTTATAAATCATACAAAATTAAGTTTTTTGAAAATCTAAAAATGCAGAAAGTTTCCTGTGAGGGGTAGGTTTAGGGGTAGGGTTGGTGTAGGGCAATAGAATATACAGTCTGTACAGTATAAAAACCATTACAACTATGGAGAGTCCCCACAAGGATAGCTGACCAGACGTGTGTGTGTGTGTGTGAGAGAGTCAATATAATGCTGAACATGTGCCTCCTCTCTCTCTGCTCTGAATGCACATACTTTCAAGACCCAAATCACCAGACATTCCCAGTTTGTGTTTAATCAGCTGATCAGTGGTGTTAAAGGCAGACGTCACTAGTACTGTAGCTCATATTTAGTGTTTTTTTTTGTTGTTCAGATCTCTAACACTGAGTCTTAACATTGAGTGCGTATACGAGTGTTTGAGACGGATGATCTAAACCTGCTTGAATCGGGCTGTTCCCTTGTGCTGTTGTTTGAGGACAGCAAGCTGCTCTTCGCACGCAAGCCTTCAGCAGAGGCATGAATTGTGTATGAAGACTTGTGTAATAGTGCGTCTGTGGATCTGGAATGGAACTAGAATATTAGCGCTGTGTTACAATGCAAAAAAAAAGTGTTTGCAGTATTTTTTTGTGTGTGTCTTGTTTTAAATATTAAATATGTTTTCTGAAAAAAAAAAAAAAAGTTTCTTTAAGCAAAATTGTAAGACTTAATTTTAGAGAATTTATCTTGAGTTAACTTTTTTCATTTTTCCCCATTTGTTGCATGTGACAATTTTCTACTTGTATTCCATCTTAATTTACAGTCTTGATCCATTACATAAATCCCAGCACATCTAATGCATGTAAGTGTCAGTTTCAGACCAATAGCTGATTGGAAAAGCGATCAAATGTTGTGCGACTGAACCCAATACATCTTTAGTCTTGTCAATGATGTATTGATTTCTTCAAAACCTCATCGACCGGACCAAAGACATACAATACACTATTTAAATAGATAACGATATCTAGAAGCATTTACCAGATACAGCAACCCAAAATGTAACAATGCACATGCAACAAAATATCAAAACAAGCAAACAAATGCTACAAGACCTTTTCTCAACCCAAATGACTTATAAACTGGTGTTTTGGATATTTTTAGTGTGTGATCGCTTAAATATATGCATAACTTGTTATTTTCAAAGGTGTATGCGAGCAGCAAAATTGGATTGTTTCCAAGACAACGGCACAATATCACTTTATTATTCTTTTTTCTAATTTTATCTCTTGATCTGACAAAATTGCTGGTTTGTCAGCAATGCCATTTCTCCATTTCTCTCTTCGTCTCTCGTCCTCTCCACCTTCACCTCCTCCTCCCTCCCTCCCTCCACCTCCCATCCATCATTCCTCCCCTGATAATACGGACCACTCGCTGTGCGACACTCCTTCAGTGCTTCACTCCGTTCATCTCTCCGCTCAGCATCCATCCATCCTCCGGCAGCACTATGGACAGCACAGTTTCAGGTAAGACCCAGAATAATCTCTCTCTGTAGGAAGGATGCTGAGAGACTAGGGAGATTTTTGCACGAGTTATTGCATGAGATTGCATGACCCACCGCTGAATCACTTCTTTTAGCATGACATTGGCACTGGTGAATATGTCCTTTGTCATGCATGTGCGTGCTATGCTATCTAAGAGATGAGATCATTAATGAACAGATCCATTTGATAAAGGGTGTGTCTGTTTGAACAACACTGTTATTGTGTGCTGATGCTGAACACTGCAGATGTTGCGCTATAAAAAACATGGGTTCATTTGGAGGGTAGCGGTGCTGCAAAATGTGGTGCAATATTGTAGATGTGACTGTGTGGATCGCATTCAAACATATACAGGCAGGATATGTCAGGAATCAGTCGTCCGCTATGTAGTCTCATGTTGACTTTGATTAGACCTTAAAAAGATCCTTGAGCAGCTGATGACCGGAACAGCTCTGCAACACTTAGTTTGCATTGTTTTTATCCGAATTAGCTGTAGATCATGCATAAATAACGGGAGTAAATTGTGCACATTATATTGTGTGGTTTGCTCAAATGTCCAGCAGACAAAGCAGGATTTGAGTTAGATTTTCTATCTCGGCCTTCTTGCAAAGTCACCTCTCCTTTGAGCATGTCATGGGTGATAAATGAACATGCTCCGATGCACACTAACTTAGAGGAATAATTAAAAAGCACCATTAGCTACTGTAATTAACACTAACGTTTAAGGCTGTCCCTTTTGCATGCATGCATTTGCAATTTCTGATTCCTCAAACCATGTTTCTTGTTGAGGTGCATTGTATGATCTTCATGACACAGAGTTCACATTCACGCAAACTCAGTTAATTATTTTGCTGACGTGCGATATCCGGATCAATAATGCATGAATCAGGTTGAGGGTGGGGTTTGAGTTTTGATGCCGAGCGTGTCGACTGCAGCCTGGTAACATGCTTGCATTTATGCATTTGCATCTCTTAAAATATTTCATGAAGCTATACAGGTCAGTTCAGGGAAACACCTCTACATCTGATTAAGTAAGATATTGCCTTAATACAGAATCTTCCTTCCTATTTACCAATAACAGAACATTTCCCATTATTAATGTAATTTTTAGTCATGTTTTCAGTAGACATTTCAAAGCATCTACTGACATTTTTACAGGGTTTTTAAACCATTTTACAAAAACATAAAAGATCACACTGCAAAAAAAGTACACATTCTTCCTCATTATATTCTTGTTTTCCAATGCAAATGTCTAAAAGATTCTTAAACGTACTTGAGAAACAAATAATATAAAATATATAAACATTCAGTAACTCTCCAGACACTATCTGTCCTAAACAGTATGCTAGGTAATAACTGGTGTCTAAAATCATAGCATGTTGTAGACGAAAGGTCTACACTTTACCCATTGCATGTAAAGTTCTGCTTCGTTCACCGCATGCATATGCATCACTGATTTGTTGTCATATTTACTATATTCAAATAATTTCTCTTTCTTTTGCAGCCTACTCTGAGAAGCTGAGAGAGATGTCGGTGTTGTCTCTCCTGTGCTCTTGTTTGTATTCCCAGCCTCTTCCCAACACCTTCCCAACTCAGTTTGAAGGTAGGAACTTCAACAGCCAAACGGCTAATGATTGAAGGCCTTACTATGAGAATATTTAGGTTTAAGTTATGCATCACATTCATTGTCCTCATCATCATTCCTCCACAGATATGGAGGTGAAGTCATTGAATAAGCGAGCCTCTGGTCAGGCGTTTGAGGTCATCCTGAAGAGTCCAACTGAGCCATCTCCAGAGAGACCCCAGACTCTGGCACTGCCGCCCCAGAAGAAGGAGCCTTCCCTGGGGGAACTACAGAAGAGGCTGGAGGCCGCCGAGGAGAGACGGAAGGTAAGATGATGATGCCATTAAATATCGCTTTATTATTTCATCTGTTGAAGTGTTTTTTTTGCGAAGCACTGCACATAAACTTGTAAAAAGTACTGGCTTTACCATGCTTCTTGGACATTTCCTTCTTGCTCTAGTAGAGTTAGTCAACAGGATGTTTCTTGAGCAACACATCCAGCTGACTGAAATAACATTTAATTATTTAGCAGATGCATCTATCTATTGAAACACGTTCATGAAAAGCAAAAGCACATGGGTAACTGAGAATCTTAAAGGTGCTTGCATATTTTCGTATTCATCATTCTAAAAATTTGTCATGCACAGAAACCTTGCACGATGCGTATTAATCCATTGCGAAAAAATTGGCAAAACAATACAAAATTTTGTCTTCAAGCAGTCAGGGTGATTTTCTTGTCCCCTCTCTTCTTAAAAAGAGGAAATATTGGGTCCATCCAATCCTGAGATTGCGTAGAGAGGAAGGAGAGTTTCACCTCCTTATCAAGGAGCGGGAATTATACTGAGTGATTCAAAGTTTAATTCGGTGCTTTGTGCTGCGATACGAAGTGGATCAACTTGTCTCTCTCTCTCTCTCTGGTTTTAATGGTGGGTCGCAACCAACTTGTTCTGGTGCACACCGGATCAACTTGACAGACGCCATTCTGGATTTTGGTGTTCACTTGTAAGCTGGCTCTGAATTGTCAAAACACTTCTCAAAATGCTTGCTACGGATGCGAAAAACGCAGAAAATTGAACCCATTCTGAATTTTTTATGACGGACCTATGTTTCGGAGGTAGTGTGTAAACGTGATTGACACAATGTGAGGTTAGTGTTAATTTTGTCAGCTATTTTCATTTTAGTCTTAGTCTTAGTCCCGGGCTAAAATGTCCTTGTTAGTTTTTATCATATTTAGTCAACCTTATCCTATTTAGTTTTAGTAGACTAAAAGTCTCAACATTTTAGTCTAGTTTTAGTCAATGAAAACTTGACATTTTAGCAATAAGATTATTATTAATTAACCGTACAGCGGTATTAATTTTGGCAGCCATTTTTAATTTAGTCTTAGTCTTACTCAAATGTACATTTTAGTTATCATATCTGGACAAACTTGTCCTGTTTTTGTTTATTCAATGAAATGTATGAGCATTTTAGTCAGGTTTTTTTAGTCAATGAAATATTAGTCACATTTTCGTCATTCTGTATAATGGTTAAACTGATTAAAAAAAAATTTTTTTCTCAAAATTATAATTTTTATAGTAGAAATTAACTTTTGCATTTCAGGTATTGCACTTTCTCCAGTAAGCACAAATCAATAGAATGTGGACACATGGTGTATTTTACCTCATCTAGAGTACTGATTTATTATAGGCTTTTTATTATATAAATCAACACCAAAGACTCATGCAATCTCTCTGTCTACATTATGAAAACAGCTAAAACAAACGAAAAATATTATAACAGTGAAATTCCTAGTAATTCCACAATTGCAATAGTCTATTTCTCTATTAAAACAACAGCGGTTGAGTAAGTGCATTTATTCAGCGATCACAATCGCAAACAATACAGTCGAGATGACCGAACACTGACTAGAACGCTTCCCTCTTAGGGGATTAGAACTCTTGATATCTGGCAACCGCACTCACGAGAACTTGTGTAGTATCTTGTACAGCAGTCCGTAAATAACATTTTGTCAAAAATAAAAAGAGGTTTTTGGTAAAGTTTTTATCTTTTTGAATACATTTTAGTCTCGCCTTATTTCGTCTACGAAATTGCACGTTGATATAGTCTTAGTTATCGTTTATTGACCTTATTGTCGTCTCGTCTTAGTCATGGGAGAAAAGCTCGTCAACGAACATTTTTCGTCATAGTCTTCGTTAATGAAATTAACACTACGCGAGGTTGTATTTTTTTTTTTACGTGCAAAAATTTCAGACTCTGTGTGCAAGGACCGTAACACTCTAAAAATAAAAGGTTATTTATTGGCATTGATGGTTCCGTCCATGTAGCCTTTCCACTGCACAAAACGTTCTTCATAATGGAAAAAGGTTCAAATGTTCTTCTCACTAACATAAAAAAATGGTTCTCAGAAAGGTTCTTTTATGGTTCTTCCATTTCCACTGTACTAAAGGTTCTTTGTAATGGAAGAAGTTTAGAGTTTAAAAAAATGTTCTTGACACTAAGAGAAAGTGGTTCTTTAAAGAACTGTTTACTGAAAATTTTCAAAAATGGTTCTTCAATGGCGTCGCTGCGAAAACTTCCTTTTGGAACCATTATTTTTAAACGATTTTACCATGTAGCATGTAGATACCATAGGATATGAATATGGTTATCCATTACTATCATGGTATTGCCATCTGATACCATGATAGCACCTCTTTTTACTTGTCTGTTTCCATGACTTTTTCCCACTTTCTGGCTTCTCTCCTCTGCACTTATTGAATGTCAGAGAAGTCTCACATGAAACTTGTCATCACCTTTCTGCACTACTTTCTGTAGTCTCAGGAGAAGCAGGTGCTGATGCAGTTGGCAGAGAAACGGGAACGTGAGAAGGAGGTGCTCAACAAGGCCCAGGAGGTCAACAACAACTACAGCAAGATGACCGAGGAGAAGCTCAACCACAAGATGGAGCTGATCCAAGAAAATCGCATGGCCCGTCTCAGTGCTCTCAAGCAGCGTCTGAGAGAGAAGGTGAGTCTGTCTGGTATGTCTTTCATGAATTTGACATGAAATACAAGTCCCTGGTTCTATTGAGAATGATTCTTCAGTGTATTATTCCATAAGAAATATGATTATAGATGCTCGGTCATCCTCAGCCACCAATGTCCCGTTCAAAAAGCCTCCTTAATATTGTGTTGTGAAGCAGTTTGCCAAAATCAATGGCAAACTGAATCCATTTTACATTATGCATTTGTCTGACACCTTTATGAAAAACAACTTACAATGCGTCCAATACTATCAGTTCATGCATTACCTGGGAACTGAACCAATGACTTTGGCTTTTGTGAGCGACTATTTGCGCAATGGAAAAACGGAAATGGAAATATTTATTGCATGTTGTTTTTCTGAAGTAACAGGCTTACAGCTGTACTTTACTGTCAGTAAAAAAGAGAACTAGTTATTTTTCCTTCCTGGTTGCTACAAAACAGTTCTTATTTATTGGATGTTTAATATGCTGTTTCTCTTTTCTTTGTCAGGAGCTTCACGCTGCAGAAGTCCGTAAGAATAAGGAACTTCACACTGAGCTCTCTGGATAAGGACACTCTTTGACGCCAGAGCTGTGAGATGTCCATTTGGAGAATATCTCATTCTCTGGCCACAGTCTTAAGAGGTCATATCAGACTCACCTTATCAGTTTACCTTGTCAATAAATGTCTGAGCATATTACTGTATCCCACATACAATTACATGGACAAAAGTATGTGAGCATCCAAACACCACAGCCAAATGTGATTGTTGATGGTTTAATTTGAGAAGCATGGGCATTAATGGGCAGTTTGTTCTTCATAAAAGCTCTAGTTCAGTGTCCCAGTTCATCCCAAAGGTATACAGACTAGATGGGTATACTAGACTTTGTGTAGACCTGTCAAGATCTTTGACCTTTCTTGATTGACCTTGACTTGTGTGATGTTCCTAAATCAACATCTTCTGTTGATCCTAGAACAAGAAGTCCTATCCCTATCCCTAAACCCAACCTTTACCAAAGATTATGGCTAAAATCAGAGGAAAGTTGATAAGAATGTTGTTCAAGCTACTACTTATTCCTTATCTGATTGGCTGAGGTTGATCCGGGAAGGAACATGCCCTACTTGTCAGAATTGCAGTCACCTGCTTTGTGCACAAGTTACTTAGTCACGCTGAAACAGAAAAGCGTCACACAAAGCTGTTGAACAATCTCCAGAATGTCACTGTATGGCGTAGCATTACGATTTGTAATTATTTGACTAGCCAAACGCATTTATTGCAAAGAGGTGTCCACATACTTTTGACCATGCCTGCTGACAAAAAACTACAACATAGACCAGCTTAAAGACTTGTTTTTAGATTGGCATTAGTGGTTTGTTACTCTGACACAAGCTGATTAAGAGGGTTGTTGTTGCTGATAAACCAGCTAGACCAGTGGGTGAGCTAAAACCAGCATGAAACTGTCAAAGCATACCTTAATGTGTGACCAGCAATGGTACAATCGGGTCATTTAGTCTGGTCTAGGCTGTTATTTAGCAGAGCTGAATCTCACAAAATCAAAAAAAACGACTGTATCCACATTCACACTGCACTTTATAGAATATGATTCATTCACGTTGGTAGTTTAGGTGCATTTCAAGGGTCTCTGACTCAGATTTGTTGGTTTGTTTTTCAGTGACCTGAAAGAGAAACGTCTAAGCTATATGCTGCTAACTGATTACCGAAAACCATTTAAAATAAGATTAAAGCATAAGTTCGTAATAAAGTGTCTGTCATTTTTGCAACTGAGGGAAACTAAGAATGCATCCAATGGATTACAACACATCAGGATATTTTAGTTGTTGTTTATCACCCTCTATGTGAAGTTTCTGTCTCTTGCAAGTTTTTTGGGTTTCTGATCAGGTATTGAATATGGAAATTACTGGCGCAGTAGTTTCTAAACCATTACGACTTTTATTGCTGCTGATAAGACTCGTATGCAATCAAGTGAATCAGTCATTAAAGCTGAGTAAAATGAGTGTGTTTGTGTGTGTGTCATGATAAACTCTGGCCAGAGTGTGATGGAAATTACAGATAAATGAAACTGAAGCTGTTTTGTTTGCTCACATACTGCTACTTTTGTTTACCTGTGTTTTTGTCGGTAGGTGGATCTGAAAACACATTTAAAAGTACACACAATTATGACATTCCTGAGTCCTAAAGTCAGAGGCAGAACTATTAAGGCACAGCAGGGCATGCAGCCATAATGTAAACCTGTTTTGTTTGTGCAAACTTTACATAACTTTACTTAAGATGGCACTGAAGGGAGTGGTCAGGTGATAGAATAAATATTTACGCTTCAAATATGCATGACGTCAGTCCTCAAGGTACCATTAAAGCAGTTTCATTCACCTGATTTGTTTAATCATTTGTGTACCATTCCAGTCTGTAATCACCTCAGGTGTTTTCGGTCATGTGCGATAAGCCGTATATTTGTTTTTGCAAGAGATGCTCCGCATAGAAAATATGGGCACATCAGCTACATCCTACGCCGTTCATAGTTGTGTGTTACAGAGTATCCTTTTGAAGGAGTCCAGCTTTAGAAACAATGTTCCTTTATTTAAATTCAATCATTTGCTACTTTTTGAAACTGCTACAATGTAATTCTGCATGAAAAATTAAACGGGTGATCCCCACATAACAATGTTTTTTGTTATGTACAGTATGCATCTGTTTTGTTTTCCTTATAAGATTGTTACTTTCTTGTTAAAAGAAACATTTTAAATGCAGGATAAAGAACATTCAGTGTATTAGTAGAAAAGAATGCATCTGTTTTGTTTTCCTTATAAGATTGTTACTTTCTTGTTAAGAACATTCAGTGTATTAGTAGAAAAGATCAGTTATGAAATATTTCAGGAACAAATTAAGCTTGTGCAATGGGGAAAACATGACTAATTTGTTCAGTCATTGTTAAAAAGATGCATGTTATGTGCTAGCATATTCATTTCCAATTTTGTCTGAATGATTGCAAAAACATAAAAGGGTAAACTGATGTATGCTGAAATTGGTGTAGATATTCTAAAAAGTCTTAACAGGAACATTAAGGCTTGTTTTTTGTGATCTTGTTAGAAACAGATGTTTCCTGTGGATTTCATCAGTATTGAAACTGAAAGCTGAAACTGCGTTTGCACTGTTTTGTACAAGCACACTGTCCTGGAAAAGGAAACTTATTTCATTCTAGGGGAGTGGTTTGTACAGCGTCGCTCGGCAACATCTCTATAAATTGTTTAAACACCTCTAGATGCACATGACGCATGAGAGGCTGAAACACCCAGTGTTACAGGAAGATCATGACATATCAGAAAACCATTGGGATGGGAAGGAAAATATGAAGGTAAGATAATGCTGTGCATTACTAATTCATGTTACCTGATTCTTTTATGAACAGCTTATTATTTAGTATAAAATAGTTTATGAAGCTTTATTAAAAAGATCATAAAATTACATAATCATCTGTGGCATTCAAAAGCTGGCAGCTTTAATTATTGTCCGTACAGTCAAAGGTGAATGGTGTCTAAGTCTCTCATTCTGACTTTTGTGTTACACAGATGAAAGAATTCCATACATGGAAATCATTACATAATCTCATTTTGGGTGAATTCTTCCTTTAAGAGAAGGTGATCTGAAATCATCGTTACAGGTGTTTCATCTGTAGTTTATATCCTTAAATGCATATAAGAAATAGTTATGTGCTTATAACTGCACTTCTGCACTTTCCTTTATTGAAATGTAAAGGTGGCAGGTAAATAATTTGCAATTACCACACTCGTTTGTATAGACACACATTACCGTATGTAAAGATATGTTCTCTACAGCTGATGTTTATTCAGTCTGAAAAAGCTTATTGATCAATATTAGAATGTGTAATAGAGTGCTGTAGCCATGACGTCAAAACCCAGAAGACTGATTCGCTTTGAGATTTTCCTATCTTGACCATACTTGGACATTTTGTTGTACAGAATAAAATGCAGAAGCTCACACCCCAAACATTCTTATGTACAAACATGAAGTTGTAGAGCAAAACGTCAAAGTATCGTCAATTTATATTGATCACAGACCTTGTTTTGCTTATATTTTGAAAAAAAAACCAATAGGAAAATCTTAAGAGAACAAAAATATATACAATAACAAAACAAATAAGTTGTAAATGCAAGTAGTGAAAACCTCTAATTGCAAACTATTTCTATCTGCAGGAATTTCATGTCCCTTAAATCATGGCTTTTGCAGGAAATCATAATCTTCAAACATTGGAGTCATACAAGCTGTGTGTCAGATGTAATAAGTGCTGTAAAAAACTCAATGAGATTTCATACTCCTATAAAGAGATCATCCATAACTGCTCAGAAGACATCTTACTGATCAAGCAGAAAGGTAGCAGTTCATTGTGGAGGCCCGTTGCTCCCCTGCCAAGCTTTCCCAGACCTTACAAATATGTTGTTTGCTGGTACTTCACTGAAGAAAGTGGATGCACACAGCATGGAAGGAAATGTACCTATGCTAGGAGCTCAGAAGAAGCAGCACTTTGGAACATCATGAAGGATGAAAACCTGACAATTCCTACGCTTGTGAAAATGATCAAACAAAACCAAAGGACACCGCAGTCAAAGTCTCAAGAGAGAAGAGGACAGTTTGACTGCGCATTGTGCCAGGTCCACATCCCAAATGAAGAGGATCTGATGAACCACTGTTTCACTGTGAAGCACAGGAGACTGATTTTTGAAGATCCCTCCCAGACTTGGAAGTACCGTGATCCGCCACCAACATACAAGGACCTGAAATTGTGTGAAAGGTATTTATATGAAGTGTGACGACTTGGCATTAGATGTTTGCTTGTGTCGAAGTAAGTTAAAGCAGCCTATAAAACGTTCTCCCATAGATCCCTGCTATGCGAGTATGGTAAAAACTGCACAAAGCCACACAGTCAAGAGGAACTTCGTGAATGGCAAAAAAGAATTAAGGCTTCACGGAAAAGAGCCAGAGATGTAGACGAGATGGGCCTACTGTCCTATCAGGACAGTCTTTTGGATGAATACAGACACAACAATGACAAGAAAATGATTGTAAGTAATGAACAATATTTAACATCATTAGTGGCACAGTGAGTAAAGCTCTGGGGCAGTATCCCAAATGTTGACAGTTGTATCTCTGATCTTTGACACTTTGTGTTGCTACTTGCATTTAATTTAGCTTCTTGTATTTAATGAATGTGTTATATATGATAAATAAATTTTATTGGCCCATTTATATATTTACAACCAAAGCTTGATTATTATTGTACATATTTACTTTTTACAACGTCATAACTATATTCCTGCAGATCAGCGACACCCTTCCTGATGTTTTTATCACCTGTGACCCAGATTTAGACAGTGTCTATGTAAGGAAAAAAGGAATACAATGTACATGGAATTTTACCATTATTTCTAAGGTTTGTACATTAACAGATATACAAATGTTTGTTTGATAGTGTTGTATAGTTACAGTATAGTAGTAACAGTTTCTAATGATACTATACACTTACAATTAGTTTCAAGAATTATGGGGTTCCACTTAGTGCTGGGCGGTATGACCAAAAATTTATATCACGGTATTTTTCAAAATGATACCGGTTTCACGGTACATGACGGTATTTATTTTTTCATGCATGACCGGATGTTAACCATATCTTCTACTGATTGAGAGAAAATACTGCAGTATATTGACTTATAATGCCCTATTTTACTGTCATGATGAGTGAATAATGTCAAAAAATACCACACTCAATAGTGACTAAACACGACCCCTTTTAATACATGTTAACCAGGAGTCACTCTCATTTATAATCGCGGCATCATCTGATAAAATCAACATGTATCTACACTAAAGAGCGGCTATGCGGTTGTTTTGGCTAGATTACTGTTTTGTTTTTTGTCTCATGCAGCGCACTGCCTGCGTCTGAGTAACAAACTAAAAACAACAACAAACTAAAAAGGGCATGTGATATTAACAGACGAACTATGCTCATATTTATAATTCCAAACAATCAGTAAGCGACAGGTGCTTGGAAACGCTGTATTCATTTATTGAGGAGTCGCCTGCGGTGCTTCTCTGTCGCTCACTGCACAGAACAGATGCCGAGAGAAGCGACACTTCTCCGGGAAAGTCAGACCAATCTTCCAACTGAACCATAGCTAAGCTTTATCCAAAAAAGTGGCTAGGTTTGTCAGTATGAATATTCTATGGAAAAAAGC